CAAAAAATTAAATTTAGAAATTAGGTTGGGCTGGACTAGCTAGGTATGAACTTGGCTTGGGAGTTAGAACATTAATCACTAAATTAGTTAATTTGCTAATTTGTTTAGAAAAAATTAAAAAAAATTATTTAAATTCGGTTCTTATTTGGTTCTTCGATATAGAACCGAGAATCGAACCAAACCCGTCGGTTCTCGATTCAGATACTCGTTCGGGTATTTAACTTATGAAGAACCGCTCGATTCAGTTCGGTTCGTGAGTTTTGTCCAACCCTATAAGAACTAAAAAAACCATTGATAATGCCTAAAAAGCACCGATACGGACACAAACATGAGTGTCCGACATGCAATATTTTGAAAATGTTCCGACACGATACATCATCTACACGTTGATTAAAATATTATTTTTTTAAAACTTTTTTTAATTTAATAGTCTAAAGTAATAATTTTTTTATACTTACTGCATCATATATATAAATGATTAAATAATAAATAGAAATCAACATAAAAAATAATTTGTAAGTTTGATTTTTTATTGGGGTAAAATAGTAAAAAAATTAATCAACATAAAAATTTACTTGTTGCTTTGTCAAAGGATAAATCTGCAAAAAAAAGTCTATTAAATATATACTAGAAAAAGAAATTTTACCGAGCATTTAATGTCATTGGGCCCAACAATTTGAATTAAAAATTGCTTTCATCTTTGACACACATTCTTTCAAATTACATTTTCAACCACACATTCTTTAATAAAATAATATTTTCCATCACATCAATAATTTTTCCTTACTTTTTAACAACATATTTTCCATTATATTACTATTTAAAATACATTTTTTCCTCAATAATATCCATCAAACACCCCTTACATTGGTTTACTTCCTCAGACTCTTCATTTCTTTTTTTCCTCAGTAGTCACCGTCTCTTCATTTCCTCTTTTCTTCCTTAGCAGTCACCGTCTCTTCATTTCTTCTTGCCATCTATTTTTTTCCTCACTTTTTCATTGCTTCTTCCTCCTCAGCCCTTTGTGCCTTTCTTCCAGCAGTTACTGCAATTCTTTTCATCAGCGTGACAGCCATCTGCATTTCTTCCAGCCATCTATTTTTCTTACTGTTTTCTTCCAGCCGTTTGCATTTCTTCGTCTCCTACACACCGCAAGGACCTTTGACACGCGTCGGCAACGTGCCTAAGATGTACCGGTGTTCGATACGTGTCGGACACCAATGCGTCAACACCGGCAGAGTGTCCGTGCTTCCCAGGATAGTGCATTAGTAATAGCTTTGGAGAAGGCTATGAAATCTTGAAGGAACTTTTTATGGTTCCTCATTCTTTAGCGTACATGCTACTTTTCAAACTTTGAGGCTTTGGTAATGCTGAAGAAGGCAAAGTATGTGAAAGTGTACCATTAACATTTGGTATCCAAGGAAAGAGATAAATGCTTTAATGTTATGATTCCTAATATTTTTAAATATTTGATTGGTTAGTTGCTTTCCTTTTGTACTCTTCGTATTCTATTGATTTGTTGATTTTTCTTTTTTGCAGATTATACGTCTTTTCATTTACATCAAGGAACACCATGGGACTCTAATGGCTTTTCAGTTTTTAAGCAACGTACATGTCTGATCTCTGCATTCTTGCTGGTTCATGTGTTGAAACCTGTGGGCTAGTCAAATTGAGTAACTAGTTCTCAAGATTTACTATTAATTAACACATATATATCACTAATGTAGGTAAACAAATTGAGACTTGACTCATTTGAAGAAGGTACTCCTGAAAGATATCATGTGGAACGGGCTTTTGTGGAAACAATACTGTGAGTCTCTATGTTAAAATTTTGCCCCTACTAGCCATATAAATTTCATATTAAGCCCCTGTTTGACACAGATTCTTTCAAAACTCATTTTCAACCACACATTTTTCAATAAAATAATATTTTCCACCACATCAATAACTTTTCCTTACTTTTTAATCACATATTTCCCTTCATATCACTATTTAAAATGCATTATTTCCTCAATAATATCCATCAAACACACTTTTAACTTTTTTTTCTCCTCAACTATGTGGGACCACATATTTGATGAGTTTTTTTCTATTTGATCAATTTGAGATACATGTAATTGTTACTTAAGCTCTATATGTAATTTTATCAGTATTACAAACAGTTCACTTATAGTTTCTCTCTTTAGTCCGAAGGAAAAATCTCCACCTCAAGATACTTTATTGAAGCTGGAGAAGGAGCAAACTTTCAATGAACTGTCTCAAGAAAGCTCCATGTTCGTTTTTAAGCTGGGTTTGTCCAAGCTTCAGTGCTGTCTCTTGATGAATGGGCTTTTCCATGAATCTAGTGAGGTATTCACAAATGATTGCTGCATTACACTTTTGTATAATCTATTATTTTATGAATTATTTAACATTGTTCAAATTATGCTGAATTCTGTAGTTTCTGGTTCACTCCTTTCCTCTAAAAGTGCTTCAGATATTGTTCTCGAGTTAATTTACTAGTCATTATGGCACCACAACTTTTTCGTTAAAATTTGATCTTGATTGTTACTATGTCCATCTGATTGTATATAAACATGACCATAGCGGTATCGCTCTTTTAAAAACTTCAATCTGAATGGATGGATTCAATAGTAGCAGTTATGTGACATGAAAAACAATTTGGGTCTGTTATTACCAGGAGGCCCTTATGAATGCAATAAATGATGAACTTCCCAGAATACAGGAGCAAGTTTACTTTGGGCATATAAATTCTCATACCAATATTCTGGACAAATTTCTATTGGAAAGTGGCATTCAACGTTATAATCCTAAGGTACAATAATGTCAAAATATGCGCTGATGCATTTATCTGCTTTTTTTAATACTATATGTCAGTTTGAGTTCTCTCAGGATGTCTCTCTTGCTAAATCTTCTATGTCATTGTAATCATGTAGATTATTGCAGATGGGAAGGTCAAACCAAAATTTGTTTCTTTATCTGCATCAATTCTTGGAAAAGAATCTGTATTATACGACATTAGCTACTTACATTCACCTGAAAGTAAGCTCTTTTTTAGTTAATCAATGTATGTTGAACTTTCCATTTGGCTGGATTGTTGAGTTCTAGCGAACGATTTCTTTACTTTGGTTCCAGCCGTGGATGATTTGAAGCCTGTGACTCATCTTCTTGCAATCGGGGTTACATCAAAGAAAGGGATGAAGTTGCTTCGTGAAGGAATACATTATCTGGTAATTTTAGATGCCATGTATTGTGAATTTCCTAATTGGTTTTCTGATTAGTTCTTTATAACAAAATGAAGGAATGAAGTGATGCATGCTTGACATTCTTCATGTTTTCTGTAGAAAATGCTTCTCTTTTCTTTCCCATACTATCTTTTTTAGCTTAAGAAAAATCATTCAAATTTCCATAATGTAAAAGCTATCAGGGGCATCATCTTTGTATGATGAACTTCTGAAATGGACAAAAGATAGATATGCCCACTTTCACTTAAAAATTATTCACATAAAGGTGAAGTAAAAGTTTGAAAGTCATACATGTTTTTTAGCTAAATAAAATTTTGGGCCATATAACCACATATTGGATGAGACCAAGTCTGGAAAAGGAATCGATCCAATTCGAAGTCTGTTCATGTGATTGTTTATTTATGAGTATCGTTGTTTATCTTGTGCTCATAATAAGCTTGGGACATTGAGTTTAGGTTTGTCTGTCATTCGTTTACGGAGGAGCTGCTAGTGATCCAATCACCGATAAGAAAAATGTTATTCAAAGAGTATTCATTTACTTTCTATAGTTACAGGTGGACCCATGTGACAAATAATGGAAATTTCTGCCGAAGCTTTGCAACATTGGCACAAACTCTTTAAGTCCATCATAATATTCATGTTTATGACTTCATAAAAAAGCAACAGTGATCTTAGGATATTCCTGTGTGACACCGTTTGCGAAGTGCTGTGAAGTTATCCATTTTGTGTTTTATCCACTTGGTGAAACTAAATAAATGTTTTTGTGATTTTACTTGAGCTGATGACAAGTTGTATATGGATTCATTGCCACCTTAGCTGAATGTTTTCTTTTCCATTCTTTTAGGGATATCATGTTTCCATTTTTATGTACTACTTTGCAGATTGATGGTTCTAAAAATGCTCGCATCGGCGTGTTATTTAGTGCTGAGGAGGATACAAATCTGCCAAGTCTCTATTTTGTGAAAGTCTTTGAAATCACTGCATCCTCATATAGTTTTGTTAGTTTCTTTTTCAGAACTTATTTTTCACCAAGCTTATGTTTCGTGTTAGTGTAAAGCCTCTTGATCATTTATTCAAATGTTTTCTTTATTAATTTTTTCTCCCTTTCTAATGTAATCGTATTTGCAGTTATAAGAAAGGAGTATTACAGTTTCTGGATCAATTATGCTCATTCTATGAACGAGAATACATGCAGGCTTCTGGGGTTACTGAAAGCACTCAAGCACTCATTGATAAGGTCTTTGAGTTGGCTGATGCAAATGGTTTGCCATCTAAGGACTACGAATCTGCTCTATCTGGGTTTTCTGCCGACAAATTGAGAATGCACTTGAATAAGGTGTGATGCATTATGCTGGTCAACTTTTTGCAGCAAATGATTATATAAAAGATGAATAACTTAAGTGTATGGAAACTGGCTATGAGGTTATCACTTTAGTTAACTCTTTCCCTGTTGAAAAACAGAGCAGAATACCTTTATGTAAAGGAAAAATGCAAACTGACCACGTAAATTATTCCGCTGCCTGTCTATTCTATTCTACAGCTCTAATTTAGTGCTTCATGGACCAAATAATTAATGTGCATCCTTCCATCAAGTCACAAGTCAAAGGAATAATAGTGGGTGAAATCAAATAGATCGGATGCAATACCCATCTGGTAGGTAATTATTAACATAGCTTTGGCTATTTACTAAACTAGACACCAACTATCAATCTGTCCAAGAATATTTCCTATTTATAAACCCTAGCATATTAAAAAGACCAGTTGAACAACTTTGATATTTTCTAGCCCCGCCCATTAAATTACTTGCAAAATAAACCGAGAGAATTTCCAAATGTATACGAATATATCAGAATATAATAATTTTGGTCCATCCATAATGCCATATCTAACTTGTATTCCAGTATGTCAAATGAGTCCACACACCATTATCTTAACTTTTTGACAGTCTTTGGCCAAGTCCACAGATCCTGAAAGCAGAGAATTATACCAAGCCCAATGCTTAGACATGCATCATATCCGATACCCTCACCTGAGTCCATTTAACATTAGATCAAGATTTATAGAAGCTGTTTAGAATGCTGAACCATGCAGTGTTTAATCATGAGTTCAATAATTTTGCAGGTGATCCAGTTTTTATGCAGGCAACTTGGACTTGAATATGGTGTGAATGCAGTTATTACCAATGGGAGAGTGAGTTTTGTCTTCCCTTTCTTTTTTATTTGAATTTTGTATTTGACTTTTAATAAAACTATCAATGGATTGACTTGATGTCTATATTGTTATTCTCCTATAATGATTTACTTTATTTGTATATTATTCTGATTTACAATTTCATTTTGAGTTTATAAATTCCTCTCATTTTTGTGATTTATAGGTGATCCAACTCCTTGATGGTAATACATTCTTGAGCCATGATTTGCACCTTCTGGAATCCCTGGAGTTGAAGCAACGAATAAAGCATATTGTTGAAATTATTGAAGGCATTAAGTGGGAGGACATAGACCCTGACATGTTGACAAGGTTTGTGGATGCTGGTGAAGTTTTTTCCTTGCATCCTCTTTATATGATACTATCAAAATAATCTCTCTTAACTACCCAACGGCATTTATTCTTTCATGTGATCAAAAGTAGCTTTATTCGTGTAATTTTGAAGCTAATGCATTCAGTTTTTATTGTCATATAGATATAGTCCAATATATTTTCTTTATGTTGACTGTCATCACTTCACTCAATCACTCCTGATCCCAAGTAGTCCTTATTGCACCCTGCTCTCCTGCCTTGTGGACGAGTATGCAACGGTGAAACAAAGAGGAAGGTATAATAACGTTTGTAGAATAGACACGATAATTAGGAAACTTCAAAGTGAGCCCCTGTTTGATAACCATTACCATTTTTTTTTCTCACTCATTTTCAACCACATATTTTCACAATAAAATATTCTGCTTGTAAACCCGAAATTTTTCTACTTTTTGACTGCACATTCTTCAAAAAATCACTATTCCAAAACTCATTTTCTCAAAAAAAAAAAAAAACTCCTTGGTT